CCCGACTCAATATTATATATTTTATAAAATATATAATATGTATTTTATATATTATATAAAATATATAAATAATATAATATTTATTAAAATATATATTTATAATTTAATATATATATATATATTTTATTCTTTTCTTTATAATTTCAATCGATCTCTCTTTATTCAGCTGCTTCAACATTAATAATAATAATATAGGCTAAATTTCGAGCCCGGGCCCAGGCTCAGGCTTCGGGCTTTTTATGAGGGCCGAGCTCGGGCCCAAATTGTAGGCCCGATTAATACACAGTAAAAGCCCGGCCCGAGCCCGGCCCGGACTGGCCCATGAACAGGTCTACTAGTTGCCTAGGCGACGCCTAGGTGCCCGCCTAGGCATCGCCTTGACAACTATGCTTTGAAGGAGAAGTAGCTAGATGATCAAGAAAGGCTATTGAAACACCAAGGAGTTTTCAAGCCAAGCATTGAGGTGGTCACATACTCCACAAGGAATGCTCTCATTCCTTCTCATGTTTTGGCCAATTTTCTATCAAATGAATGCCGTGGGTCATGTAGATAGTAATTTAATTCACTAGATGCATGCTGGTTTCACATTTTGATTATATAGTGCTTTGTTTTGTTGTTACCATAGATTCCTCTCATCCACAGCATATAATTTAGCTCCCTAGCATTCTCTTAGTTTATTTTAGTTTAGTCTCACTTAAATTTGCATCTCATAATATTTTTTTTATCAGTAGCATCCCATAATAATTTTAAGTTGTGCATCTAGTACAAGTCTCAATATTCATATCATATTTGCAATATATTTAGCATCAACATTCTCTGTTGGTAGACTGCATACATTGTCTTATCATTTTTCAATTTGCTTCTTATTTTCTTTTGTTATCTTTAAAAAATCCCTCATTAAAATTGTTTTCACTGGCACTCATCCCCCTAGGTCGTGCATATAGAGATAGAGTGCATACATTTACATCATAGTAGCAATTAGCATCTAACTTACATCCAATCTTTTTGGTAGATTTTCCAATCTAGATATTAGCGCTTTCATTTTCTTTTTATTCCCATTCCCATATTAGATTTTCCTAGGCTTTTTCAGCATAAAATTCATCTTATCTCATTATTTATTTTCAGAAAATTCATTTAGCATTAAGGTTCTATTTACAGCTTTGCATATCTATCTTCATTTGCATAGTTTTCTTTTCCCAAAATTCTGTTTCACTTAATTTGGCATTTTTGGCATTTCCATACTCATTTAGATTTTAGAATCATCTTCTGTTAGATTTTTTTTAGCTACATCATTTTGCTTTTTAGAAATTAGAACATTCATCATAGATAGAGTTGGTAGTTCTTCAGTCTATATTCCATTGCTAGATTTTGCTTTGCCAGCTAATTCTTGTTCTTTAGTCTTCAAATTTGGAATTCTTGGCTCACACTTCATTTTCAGTATTCTCGTTAGTTTAGAATTTAGTTTATAATTGTTTTTATTTTCCATTTGGTACTTAGTTTAAATCTGATTTGTTTTGCTTCTAGATACAATTTAATTATTTTCCTTGCTTTAGAATTTCTGTCTAGGTTATTTGTTTTTTTAGTTAAGCTATTATTCTTGTTAATTTCGTTCTTTTCATATCTTGTTTCTTAATTGCATGCTAGAAGTTTTCTGCCCAAGATCAATAAGAGTTTAAGTTGAAAATCTATCAAAGGTCAGTTTTACAGTGGGTGTGTGTGGGGTTCTAACATCTTCCCACAACATACCTTGGCTCCCGAATCCAAGATTTCTAATTCAAATTGGGTGAGCCGTGAAAAAAAAGCTTTTTTGGTAAACTCCAGGTTTTCCTTGCCCTCAAATTTAAAGGATTAGGTGGTGAGTCCTTAATCAGCACAATCCCCTTTTTTTGGAGAAACCAAAGCAATTTCGGTCCAATCTCTTTCTCTCTCAAAAGGGGAAGAGAGTGTGGGGCTAACGCTTGCCTTTTGGAGTTCTAATACCAGTATTCTTAGAACTTGGTTATCCCCCCCCTGAAAAGAAAAAAAAGGAATTGTGCATGATATCTAATGTCAAGAAATGAGATTCAGATAGTTGACAAGAGAAATGAAAGTCTTTTTCAGTTGGATTAAGCAATTTGATAATTTGGTAGCTGATGCTTTAGCCAAACAAGGGGAGGGAAGAGAGACCTTATTGTGGGCACAACTGTATATTAGAGGTTTTGTTGTGGGGAGATAAGAGACCTTGTTCTCTCATTGACTTTTTATTTCTCTTCTGTGTGCAATCTTTTATCTATTTCTTTAATAAATTATGCAGTTATCGATCAAAAAAAAAGAAAAGAAATGAGATTCAATTTCTGAACACAATCTCCTAAGGATCACTAATGGAGTGTCTGTAAGTATGCAAGTCTTTGTAATTATTATTTTCTTGAAACTTCAAGGTCTATGCTTTGACTCTTGACATCAGATAACCAAAACAAGGGAAATTGCCTTTTAAACACTAGAGTCAAGACCATTATCAGTTAACAAACATAAAACAAGATGGAACATATTAGGCTGCTTGGTGTATAGCAAAGAATGCTCATCGGAATGGATGAGAGCATTCAGGATAGTTATTGAAAAGTCATTACATACCTGCTCTTGAAATCAGTTATTACTCCTTCAACTATATTGAGAGGAAATTTCTTCCCACAGAGTTTCTTTCTGAGCTCTACTGCTGTAAATGCTCTGCAGTGACATCAAATGTGCATTCAAACTATATAAAAAAAGAGTATGAGAAATGAGAATAGCATCTAAAGATGAAAAGAAATATCTAAGTATAACAAAAAGGTGATAATAATTAGGGTAAAATATAAAAACCTTCCCTGTGTTGTGTATTGACTAAAATAAAAAACTCCCTTGTAGTTTTGAATAAATTGACAATTACCACCCTTCCATTACCTGGCCAGATGGAAAATGCTGACATTTTGCATTTGTTTTTTCAAAATGCCAATTTTACCCTTAGGGCTATCCGTTAAGGTGTGAACTTACTAAAATACCCTGAAATAATTTTAACCTTTTTATTGCTCTTCTCTTCATTTCATTTCCCACCCCTGAAAAGTGTATACTCTAAAATCATCTGGCTGAGTGAAGTCTAATTTAGAATGATACCTTAACGTGTAATAGGGGATTTCGTAACTTCCTTGTCTCCATTACTGGCCAGATGTTGGAAGAGAGGTAACTGCCAATTTATTCAGAACTAAAGGAGAGGTTTTTTGTTTTAGTCAAAACACAGGGGAGGTTTTTATATTTTACGCTAATAATTAAAAGGTGCTTATCAAAAAATAATGATTAAAAGGTGAGCTTTCAGATGAAAGAAATACTATGAATGCCTGAAAGCTTTTATTAACAATAATTTAGAAATTTTATTAGAATGAATGAAGTAAAGGAATAGCACAGAAGAAAATGAAAACCAGAACACACACTAGAGAATGAGAAGAACCCAGCATCAGATGGAAAATCCCCCCAGGGAATGCCAATAACAACCATCCAACCCCAGAACAACTATGGGAAGGAGAAGCCCATAAAGCTTTGCTCTGTCCACGCTAGATTTTCTAAGGCTGTCTGCTAGGGAAGCAGTTCTCAACCGGCTGAATGAGACACTTGGTTTCCCAGACACGATGTTCCAGATCTGAAGCAAATGCCTAGAAAATTCATTTGAGAATTTAGAACAAGAAGCAACTTGAATCAACAGAAGAAACAAAATTAATGAAACAAGATCATGTCTTGTTATTGATGAAATCAAAGACAGTCTGAGACCAGCAAGAGGTACGGAATTGGGAAGATATGCTAAGCATTATTAAGATCCTAAAAGAATGAATTAGGTTGATGACTATTAAAGTTCACTTCTGATTGGCAGCCAAGCCACCAAAATAATAGGGTGTGACATTTTAGCCAACAGGTTACTTTAGTCTACAAGAATAGGTTCATTAGTTTGATGAAGATATCTCCTAACACTAGTTTGCTTTAGCTTGATATATCGACTTTAAGCTTAAGCTTAGAGAAAAGGTAACATCCTTCATGAAGGAACTTTCAAAATCATGACGGTCATGGTGGCAGTTTTAAAATCATGCAAGTAAGATTTAATAACCTTGTAGCAAGTGCTTCAATTGCAACCTTTTCAGCATCTTGTTTGGTTTTTCTAGAAGACATTGCACTCCCTTCATAAGTCTTCTCATGCAAGTTACCAAATTCATCAGTAACCTCTTCTTCAGGCTCTTCCACAAAATTTTGGTCTATGATCCCCATTTCATGATAATTGTAATTCTCCAATTCTGAGAACCCCCTGATATTTCTGACCGTAACATTTGATCTCGCTACATAAAACAGAGCATGGTCAAATCAATAAGAATGATCAAACGATGGTATAAAAAATTTACAACATATATCAGGATCAGAAAGAAGAACCAAGATAATTATATAAAAACAGTGAGTGACGTGGGCATCCAGGTGCAATGTGCACAGGCTGAGGAATAAAATATGTATGGTACAGACTCCCATGGGGATCAAGGCTCTTGTTAAGCTCAGATGTCAGATCTACATGCAACTGTTCAACTAAAGGATATCCAAATACTACTTCCTTGAGAGAAGCAACCTTCTTACTTTCATGGATTGAGGAAACACCTTCCAGCAAGGTGAATTTTGACAAGGATTACTCACACTTTCCTCCAGGAAACCTCTAAAAGGGACAAAAATGTCAAACAATTGTCTACGGGGTTAAACCATAGTTTTCAAGGCGCCAAGGCGAGGCTAGGCGACAGGGGGGGCACCTTGTCGCCTAGTCACCTAGGCAATGGATTTTTTTATGTTGAAACCATAGATCCTAGGGTAGTTCCCTAGGTACCGTAACCATATTTCCTTAATATTTATTCATAATTTTCATAAGGGGATGAACCCTTAAAGAAGAAGAAGAAGAACAAGAAGTGCTGACTAGATAAAATTTTAAATTCTTCCTTACTTATTGGTTCAGGTTTTGAAGTCTTTGAGGGTTCAATACAGAATTTAGCAATGTTTGTGTTGATTAAACCTTAATAAATAAGAAAACATTAAAAACAAATTAGTATATAAACACACAAAATGATTATTTTAGTTTAATAATGTCTATTTTATAATCATAATCTCAAAAAAGAATGAACAAAAAAGTATTTTATAGTAGGAAGTAAAAAACTGCTTGGCGATTAGGCGAGGCAAGCCTCAAAGGGCGCCTTGTCGCCTAGGCATCGCCTTGACAGCTATGGGTTAAACTAATTTTTCTGTACATACTTTACAGTTCTCCCTAAAAATTGTTATAAATACAATTAAAAGCATAAAGGTACAGCCTAACAATCATCCACATCCCTATCCTATACAGTTCCCTTACTGAAACTAGCTTACTCTTATGAAAAAAGAAAAGAAAAGAAAAGAAAAGAAAAGAAAAGAAATGAGTGAAACAAATAGGAATGGCATGAAGATGATCAAGGGTTGATTTCAGGATGTTGGTGAATTCAACTCAAAAGGTGAGATTTTAAATTACCATACTTCAAAACAAATAGCCACCTCTTTTTTTTTAATACAGAAGGAAAGAACAAGGACCCAACGAAACATTGGGCCTGTCCCACCTGTCCATAAAACAGATGTAAGCCAAGGCCCAAGGAACATTATTAACTAGATCTAAACTAACACTTTGAACCATATTCGCTAACCAATCTGCTGCTTGGTTTCCGTCTCTCCAAATGTGTGTGTAAGCTATGTGAAGCTGGTTTTGCTCCATGATCTTCCTGCATTCTTGGATTAAAGAATCACAGTGCCACAGCAGTTGGTCCTTTCCCAAGAGGCTGTCAATTTTGAGCTTCAAGTCCCCTTCAATCCAAATACTGCAGTATCCACTTTGAGCCGCTACTCAATGAGCTTCAACTGCAGCCCAGTACTCCACAACAATGGAAATGTGAGTCCTTTTTTTTTCTTTGCCATTTAACAAGTATGTTCACTCAAAGCTTTATGTGAGTTACCTAAGAAGCTAAGAAGTTCAATAATTGATTATGGGATTATTTACATGTAATACCTCTAAGATGGGGATTCTGGAATTTCTGGATAGAAAAAGCTGTTTTAACTACTATATTACCAGAGCCCTAAAACCTTGACAGAAAGACAAAACCCCATTGCAAGAAGATAGTGGGTATGATGCCCAAATTAATTATCATCTCCTACAAGGTCATCCCCCCACCCCACCCCCCCAGTACAGGCCTGCATTTGTTCTTGACAGCATCATTATTCATTTGATTGCAGAATTGATGATTTGTTGCAGGTTGAAAGGGCTAGAAGGGTTAGGAATAGACCAAAAAGGACATAGGTAGATGTAGTAAGAAATGATTTAAGTGCCAATAATTAGGGGTATGGAATCCCATTATCCTAAATGGCTACTAATAACACTACATGCTGACATCTGTAGTGGCTCAACTATCAATAAAGGGCACTAGCCATCTTTCCTAAAAAGTGGTCCTAAATTAAATTGTTTACTTACGGTCTTACTGTATTATTTGTATTATTTTATCAATTATAAGAAATTTTGACGTCATGGGGTTTAGAAATTTGGGAGTTCGTCTGGATGTAATTGTTCATTGTCTATATATGAGGTGCATAATTCCATACCTTAAATAGAAAAATAAAAATTTCCCCAAGTTTCATTACTGTTGATGAAATGCATATATTTAGGATATCCATGAATTACAATTCCATCTTGTTGTGACTGCACGTTGATTACCTGTGAAATTGTATTCTTAAGTGAAAAATGGTGTTTTAATTTCGTGGCAACCTGCAATACTGCATGTGCTTTTTGCTAGTTTATAAAAGGAAGAAATTTGTTTAACAGCATGAGATGTGCAGGAAATATGGATTGAAAAGGAAAGTATACCAGTTCCGGAGTTGAAGGCTCCTTTGGAATAGGAAGATTGATCTAAAGACTTCTCACGGAGACCTGATAGTGTAACTGGACCTCTCATACCCTTTGAAAATTTATCTCTTAAAAGCCTTGAATCCGAGATCTCTTCGTAGCAATTCTCTTCAGAAGACTTGGTAGGGGGTGAAGTCGGTTCTTCGTTGTTCTTGGAACATTTCTTAGGGACGGGACCTGAGGATTGGTAAGATCTGCAGCAGCTGATGACACTGGCTTTCTTCACCCTATTTTTGAAAATCAAACACGGCAACCACTACAAATTACATTTCCAATTACATTTCCAATGGTTGAAAATGTGAAATTAACGCACAATAATGAAATTAAACTCGAAACGTAGCATGTTGACGAATTAGAGTTGGATAATGAACTCCTACAATGGACCCGGGTGAACAAAAAGCTCGCTTGAGAATTTAATGCGGAGATTTCCCGCAAAAATCGCCATCACGTTTTCACTAGCTTTTCAGGCTCATGTAAAGAGGAAGCCCTAAAATGGAGTTCGATTGGCATTTATCTGCAACATCGCAGTGTCTGTTTGTTTCTCTTTGGTCATGGACTCATGGATGGAGAAATGTTCCCTTCGAGTTAGAGCCATCGGGCCTAAAGAAAACGGCTTTCTGGAAAAGCCAAAAAGCCATTTTTTTGGTGCCCATGCCCGTTTGGAAGGGCGTTCAGGACCTAGCTTCTAGCGTTCCAAGTTGGCCCAACAGGCCAACATGTGTGGACGAAAATCACAAAAACCAATATGTGTGTTTCCAACGCTAAAAGCATAGCTAAAATTGGAAGTTACTCCGGCTGGTGTTTGGCATCGATGTTGACACATATGACGTTTTATGGGGAAATTTTTACCCACAGGTGGAGGGAATTCATGGCCCCCCATAAAATCACAGAAATCTAAATTGCAGCCCCCTCCTACTCCTAGTCTACTAGTAGCCCCCCCGCTCCCTAAACTGCATCCTGTTCATGAATTTGGCATTTTTTCATAGGCAAGATTGAGTCCACCCTTAGAAATCCTAGCTCTACCTTTGGCCAGGGTGGCCTGAATTATAAAAACCCCTAAATTTTATTTAAGTTTCACTTATATTTTAGACCCCCTTATCCATGTTTCCTAGCTTTTGGCCCCCCTATCCAGGTTTTCTAGGTTTTGGCCCCCCTCAATAAAAAATCTTAACTCCCCTCAATAAAAACCATTAGTCTCCATTATCCAATGCTTCTCATGCCTATGTACTCTTTTGCACCCAATGGTGCAAAAAATCCCCACAATTATCATATGGTCCTAATTACAGAATAGCATATGAATAAAAAAAAATAGAAAATTATGGAAAAATAGCAAGGGAACAACATAAAATTAGAGGACATTTATAAAAAAAAATTGCAAAAAAAACACAAAATAATAGCAAAAGGATGCAAACTACCATAGAAAAATTAAAAAAAAATGTATATAGAAATAGTGACTTGCAGAAAATGGATAAACTTCAAGAAATTTGGTAGAAAAACGAATAAAAGGATGCATTAAATTACTAAAATTCATAGAATTTATAAAATTGTAGAAAATTAAAGGAAATTGCATGAAAATGCAAAAAAAAATATAGAAATTAACATAAAAACTTGTAGAAATATGTAGAAAATCATATTATAACTGTAATTAAAAGGAAAAATACAAAATGTTGTAGAAAAAACATAAAACAATGCAAATAAATGGAAAGTGCAGAAATCAATAGAAAATTATAGAAAAGTGAAGGAAATTGCAAGGAAGGTCCAGAAAAAAAAAAGCAAAAATTAATAAAAAAATTAGAATTTTTCAAAACAAAGTTGTGGAAATGTAAGAAAATGCAGAAAATGAAAGAAATTTTAGGAGAAATGCATAAATTAACATAAAATTACATAACTTTGTAGAAATCTACAAAAAATCATATGATAATTGTAGAGAATGGAAAATACATCATGTAGACCCCTAGTTTGCTATACAAATACCATCACATGATCATAGGAGTTATAGATCTAAACATAACATTAGGACTTAGTTCATACAAGTATTTGTCAAAATGATTTGATCTAAAACCAGAGATACATCACTTGAAGAATTTCAGTAGCAACATAATTATCACGAGCCACACCAATAACATCATATATATGATGTTACATCCACAACAATCAACAATTGCAATGAATTTTTGTGTTGGAGTTGTGATGTGGATGAGTTATGGTGACTAGTATTAGTCCTAAGTGATTTTGGGTGAACATTAAGGTATTGGTCTGCCCAAATGAATGACCCTTTGTGGTCTCCTCGAACTAGACAACAGAGAAACTGTCGCCCATAATTTTTTTAGTACTTTTTTTTTGGATCAATAACAACAGCTTCATTAATTTTAAAAGAAAAAAGGGATTATGGATACAAGAGAGGAAATAAAATATCTTAGCTCCCCAAAAACAGAATACAAAGGGAATACAAAGAGAATAAACTAAAACTAGCCCAAAAGACAGACTCCCTATTCACCCCTTGCTTGGCCAACCCATCTGCAAATGAGTTGGCACTCCTCTTCACCCAGTTGTATTGTATCTCAATGTCCCTGCATAGCCATAAGACCTGCTTCTTTTCATTGTTATAGTTCAACAATCCACTGTCATCTTTCTTCAGCCAGCTAACCACCACCTTTGAATCACCTTCCAGGATCAAACGGCTAATATTTAATTCATTTCCTCTTCGAATTCCTTCAAGCGCTACAAGGATCTTAGCCCTAAGAGAGTCACTTTCTCCAATAGGGCCAAAGAACAAAGCAATAACATTCCCTTCCTCATTCCTAAAAATCCTCTAATCCCAGAGGGCCCTGGATTCCCTACACTATTGCCATCGAAGTTCATCTTTATAACACCCAAGGGGAGAGGGGACCAAGAGGGACAAAGAGTCCTCTTGCACCTAGTAGTGGAAGCAATCTCTTTCCAATTTCTTAGTAAGTCATCCATAGGAAAGTCTGGAAACAACTCTAAAGATTTTAGCCAGTAGACAACCCTTAAAAGGATTAGATCTAATAGTTCTTCTAAGGTTCTTTCCTTGTCTAAAAAAAATACATGAGTTTCTTTCTTCCCACAATGACCAACACACAGCTGCCCTAATACTCCTCCACATAGTCTTCCCTTGCTTCTTAGGCCATTTGAAAAAAGGAGAGAACAAGCTTTGGACACTCTCTAGTGGATTCCAAGAACACCCAAAGTGGGAGAAAACCCACTCCCACACAGTTTTAGCAACCTTATAAGAGACCATGAGGTGGTAGTCGAATTTCCCATCAGCTTTACAAAGAGCACATCTATTAGGAAGTAGACAATAATTGGGTATCTTTCTCTGAAGTAAGTCAAATGTGTTTATTCTTTCTAGGAATATTTCCCAACAAAAAAAACCAACCCGAGGAAGAATAAGCTTGCTCCAAATTTCCTTAGCCAGAAAAGACAACCCAAAAGGGACAGAAGGCTGAGTTAAGATTTCAAAGAAATAAGCATAAGAGAAAGTACCAGTGGTAGAAGGGGTCCAAAATCTGGTGTCTTCCTTATCAAGATTTAAGAAGACATTCTTAAGGGTGGCTAACAAAGGTAATAAGCTTTCCAAGTCTGTATCCCAAATTGCCCTCCGGAGGCTTAGGTTCCACCCAAAACCAGAAGTGGAGTCTAAAGGAACTAAGAAGGAAGAAATAGGTTCATTTTTCAAGTATGACAGTGCATATAAGGATGGAAAGTGGTCCTTTAGAGGTGAAACCCCTACCCAAAGTTGTTCCTAGAATTTTATTCTGTTACCAGAGTTTAGACCATACCTGATCCAAGGGGAAAAGATTAGAAGCAGATTGTGAATGGATTTCCAAGGACAAGCAGTTGTAGCCCTTGCCAAGATTCCAGGATCCCAACCATTGTCTTCCAGCCCATGTATGCTTGCCACAATCTCAGTCCACAATTTATCCCTTTCCAATGTAAACCTCTACAACCATTTCTCCAATAGAGCCATATTCCTTTTCTTGATGTTACCAATCCCAAGACCTCATAGTTTTTTGCACCTAATTACCACCTCCCAATTCACCCTATGATCTCTTTTCTCCTCTCCAAGCACCTAATTACCACACTCACTGCCTGAGCAATGTCATGACAAGTGCACAGCATGGCATACATGATGCTCCATATGGCTGAGGCATAGGGAACGTCCTTCATGCCCTCAATATCCTCAGAAGTCTAGGGAGACATCTTCTTGGAGAGAGTGACTTCGTGAATGAAAGGAACATTTCTCTTCTTGGAGTTCTCCATGTTGTATCTCTTGACAATTTTGTCAATGTAAACAAATTGGGATAATCCTATTATCCGCTTCGATCTATCTCTATAGAGTCGAAGACCCAGTATATTGGAGGCTTCTCCAAGATCTTTCATGGAGAATTGCTGTGAAAGCCATACTTTCACCGTAGTTAACATTCCTACATCATTCCCGATGAGTAGAATGTCGTCTACATATAGAACAAAAAACGTAACATTGTCCCCACTGGACTTCCTGTAAACATAGGGCTCATCTGGATTCTGCTCAAAGTCAAACTTTTTGACAGTAGAATCAAACCGGATGTTCCAACTTCTAGAAGATTGCTTAAGTCCATATATGGATCTATTTAAATTACATACCATGTGTTCCTGACCCGCAGCTATGAAACCTTACGGTTGCTGCATATAGATATCTTCAGTAAGATCTCCATTCAGGAGCACGGTTTTGACATCCATTTGCCAAATCTCGTAGTCATGGTATGCTACTATAGCTAGCAGGATCCTAATGGATTTAAGCATGGCCACGGGCGAAAAGGTTTCCTCATAATCGATGCCCTCTTTCTGAGTATACCCTTTCGCCACCAGACGAGCCTTGTAGGTCTCAACCTTACCATCGGGGCCTTTCTTCCTCTTATAGATCCATTTGCAACCAATTGCTTTTACCCCGGGGGGCGGATCTACTAGAGTCCAGACTCCATTGGTCTCCATCGAGTCCATCTCAGCTCTCATGGCATCTACCCACTTCAAGGAATCTATGTCCAACATAGCTTCCGCATAAGTCACGGGATCCTCCTCACTAGTCAAGGCTTCCACCAGGTAACTATCCTGATCATAGCCAAAACGGACTGGTGGCCTGGAAACCCGGGTAGATCTTCTAGGTTGGTCACTACCTGGAACTTGTGGGACATCTCCCACTACTCCTATGCTCTCCTCATCAAGAACTATTTCCTGATGATGAGTGTCCAAGATGTAATCATTTTCCAAGAATTGTGCATTTCGACTACATAACACCTTCTGCTCACTTGGGTCATAGAATAAGTAACCCACAGAGCTTTTTGGGTAGCCCTGATTTTGGATTCCAACTTGTCCGCACTCGTTCTTTTAACGTGCGTTGGAAAACCCCAAATCTTCAAGTGTTTGACACTTGGTTTCTTTCCAGTCCAAAGTTTGTATGGAGTATTCGGAACCGATTTGGTTGGAACCCGATTCAGCACATATATCGTAGTCTCTAATGCGTAACCCCAAAATGATGTAGGTAACTCTGAGTGTACGAGAAGTGACCGGACCATATCCAATAAGGTCATGTTCCTCCTCTCTAAAACACCGTTAAGCTGTGGTGTAGCA